AAATTGTTGAGACGTAAACGCATCATCGATTGTTATTTTAGCTGACAAATCAACATGCAGAAACAAACTTTTTTTTTTTTTTGCTCACATAATTTGTGTGCTAAATAAAAGGAGGAAAATGGAAAAAAAAAAGAAAAACTTGAAATAAAAATAAATAAATAAGTTAAAATAAAGTAAAATAGAAGAAAATGAAATATTAGAATAAAATAAAAAAAATAATAAAACAAAATAAAATAATAAAATGATGAAATAGGGACTGGGAAACGGGGAGAAATCTTTGCAAAACAAGCAAAAACTAACTTACCTCATTCTCAGTCATGATAAATGTGGTTAAAGGCCCTGAAAAACACGTTTTATACGTAAGCAGCAACAAAACAACTAACACCACCGCCACCATCACCATCACCATCATCGTCATCATCATCATCATCAAAACACTTTAAGACAGCAGCAATATGAGCACTTTAAAAAGCAAAAGCAAAGCAACGGGAAAAAAGCCTATCAATTCCCAAAACGCTTGCAAACTATGTGCCACAATTATTCAACTAGGAAATAGGGAAAGGGGAGGGGGAACAGGATGATATGGCCAGTGAAGAGCATAAACGTGACAGATGATGCATGAAAAGGGACGGCGGAGGAGAGGGAGGGTGCGGGAAAAAGACGAAGACCGGAGAAAGGACAGCTGGAAGAAGCGCCGGCTGATGATGCTGTGGACTGAAACAGTGAATCAACAACAACGGCGACAAACGGCAAATCAACAAAAAAAGTCGTGAACAATATCGGAAATGTTGTGAACATATGAAATTTGCTCGTACCCGTCTTGGTGTATGCGGACATACCAGGGACAAACAGACATTCGCATATATGTATATGTATGTAGTAAGCACACTTCATCATCTGAGCCTTTCGATGGTTTTAGGCATGCGAATGTTCGCCCAATTGAGTAGGACGCAAGAAGCAGTAACTGGCATGCGGCAGAGCATTTGGAGGGCCGCGTAATGCCGCCCCAAAAGCCAGTAATTGCTGACGATGATAAACTTTTTGGTGATGGTGATACTGATAGTTATAGCGATGACGATGATGGTGATGCTGATAATGATGACAGTGGTAATGGTAGTGATGCTGATTGCTGGCAGCGTTAGGTACAACTGAAATTATCAGTTCCCATTAAATCTTTAATATCGTCACCGCCACCAATAAGACCAACCTCGTTGTCCTTGAGCAGTTGTAGGAAAAGAATAAAGCGAGAACAAATGAAAATAATGAAGGCAATAGCGCTTTTTCTGTCATTATATACATTTGTTCTATTTTTTACAAGTATCCGACTGATTTAAATCATATTTTTCATGTTTTCAGCTTCAAATGCGAGACAATTTTTTTCGTGAGGGGGTGTGGGTATATGCGGTCAATCTGTATTGAAACGACTTTACTGTGTCTAAAAAAATTCTTGCTTTCTTTTGCAACTCCTTTTTTTCTCATTTTTCTTTATCCATTTGCCCTAAGTGAAATCACATAAGGCGTTTTAATCGCTCGCCATGCTTCAAATATGGCTTAAAGAAATGTTTTGTATTTACCAATGATTGGTTGAAAACTCTGACCGAAGGATCAATCGCTATTTCTCTATCACTCAACCAATTATCAAATACGTTCGTTTATGTGTCGAAGGCTTCCCGACAGTTTCAAACTGAGTCGTGCTCTGTAATTTTGCGTTTATTTTGATTGTGAGTTTTTGCGTCAAAATTGATATCCATTTAGCTGGTAAAGGTACTGACTATTTGGTGCGGTAGGATATTGTAGTTGAGGGTAAATTCTTTTGGTATTACTATAGGATCTGCAAACGTTTACCAGCAACAGCTTTTTACTTCGTTGTCTTCAATTTTTTACTTTACATGAATTGACTATCGTTTTTGACTACACCTTCCTTGAATTTATAATTGTTTTACGATTAGCTTGCTTTATTAATAAGAATTTTTATAGAGGTTTTATACCAGATCGTGGTGAGTTAGTTCGCTGCAGATGTAAAATTACGGTCTCAATATAAATGCTCGTCTTTCTCCATTTTGCTGTACTCCGCGTTTTTCTTTGTCATAAAAGTAGTATACCGGAATGCGTCATCGTCATGCGGTTAACTGTAATTCTGACTTTAAATGATTTGTGGATTGTTGGCAGATTGCGGAAACTGTCTCTGTCGCCAGCAAAAAGAAAAAAGTAATTATATGTCGTACATGTGATATCACTGCTTAGTTTTACATCTGCGATATTTGTTGATCTTACTGATATTGAAGTGGAATTTGAAAAGGTAACACTAAAATGCCAGACATCTCGTTCCGGGCTGTCACTGTTTCTTCGTGCATACGAAATATAAAGAAAAATTTGGGAATTGTAATGACCATTTAATTTTACTGGGAAAATCGGTAACACCGAAATAAAAAAGGATTCAGTATTTGCTGATCAACCTTGCTTAAAAGTTAAGGAGTTTGAAAAGAAAAGCCATAGAATTTGAAATTATCAACGGTTTAAACCGTGTAATTTTTTACAAGTTTTTCTTTGTCTAAGACGAGTAATAATAGGCAAGCGACAGTATGCAGTATACAACAAAGGATTAAATTCATTTTTTTTGATTTTGGTGAATTAAAAAAACAATCGGGTGAACGCCTCTAGACGCATAACTATTTATGTATGTCTTCAATTGTGAATTGAATACCTGCTGTTTGCCAAAAAGTAACTGTTTAGCTCTCAGACGGACAAGTAATTTTTTTCTTTTTTATAAAGTCGCAGACAAACTTCTCACTGATAAAGTTAGATTTTTAACTCCGTTACAGGTAATAAACGTTTTAAGAAAAAAATAGGGTTTTTGATAAACGAATAGACGCCGACTGGCCTTTATGATGCGTATTAATCAAACCTGTGACCGATTTGCAAGTTTATTGCAAATTTCGCATTGGAGATCAAAAAAATTGCTCGTTGAAAGGATGTTAGCTGAGGCTGTTTGTATGAGACAAACGAGGAGAGCAGTTCATTGCTTTCTGGCGTTCTATCTTCTCACTTTTCTCTAATTTTTGTGTAAAAGAATGAGCCTTTTTTGAGGGTGCAGTATTTTTTTCATGGTCTTTCAACTGATTAATTAGTTGAAAACAAAAAAGGAACTGAAAGGGAGAAAATAGTAAATTAGAAAAATTTTGATCTAAAAAATGATGCTATTTGATGTGGGTTTCGTTTGGAAGTGATGGGCTCATGGTGAAACTGGAAGGCTCCTGCAAGGCGGAATTGGTAAGTTGTTCAATACTTCTCTTCAAGCTTTTTAAAATAATTTTTAACTGTTGTAGCAGTGAAGCAATGTTATCTTTTAGACTTGTAAATTGTTAAGAGATAAAAAAGAATAGCAGCAAATAAACGGCTAAGAACTACAGAAAAGCGGCTGAAGTTAGAATTGAAAGAAAGTTATAACTATAATTATGTGAAAGCGAATGAACTTACCATTCTTTGTAGTATTACCTTGTACTAATTGAGATCGGAAAAGATTGCTTCAGAAAAAGTCGTAACGGAGTAACTGCTAACTGACATTTTTTGTCAAATTTAGTGAACCATTCTTCTGCATTATAACCTCTGAATCAAAATTTGCATACCATACTAATTATTGGTTCTTAAAATACCTAACTTTCGACTGTTTTTGTAAAAATTTATCATCAGACGTTTATTGAATTACTTTTCCTTTCTGATGGCTGTAGTTATGTTTTTATATATTCAGTTAGGACTTGAAAACCTTTTTTTCATATAATTTACTCTTCAGCAGCTGTTGTATGAAAAATATCCAATGGCCTACAATTTCTTAACAATAACAGAAATCTGTCTTACCGTTAACATTGTTGGTAAATCTTTGCAAGTGGAAATCATTGATTATCGAGTAAGGATCTGTCTTTATCCAGTTACAGCTAATTTTTTCATGTAACACCGATCTGATACTGAAAGATGCGATCATACTGAGGCCTTATTAAAAACTGTTGACTTATGAGTGGTTGCTATTATTATCATATCTGCATGGAGGCCTTTTAACAGCTGTAGTGTTTCAGTGTTGCTTATTAGTTTATTAAGAACAAACAATAACAGAGATTTGATTGAACTGCAGCAGTTACAATCTGCTCATAGTTAGTTGATTACTTAGTTCTCTTTAAGCATAACAAACAAATTTGAACAGTTTGTCATTTTTCATCAAACCAATAAAAAGTGGCAAAAACAGACACATACATATGTATGAACAATCATAAAAAAGGATTTTTTGACGATCAGTTTACTATCACTGTCTCATACAGATAATTGTCTATAAATGCAGAAACTTGTAATTAACTTATTATCAGTAAATGGCACTGTTTTCATCTAACAATTTTAACAACCATTTCTTCAAAGAATTATACTTGCAAGCAGTATCTGCAATTCTTATCCAAGTTGTATGTAAATGTTACAACTTGCTTTCATTCAATATCCGTTGATTTCTTAGTTGGACAAACTACTGTTACTTTCAACAGTTAAATTTTTCAAAATTCAAAATTTGCATTTACTCTTCAACATTCAAAGGAATTATACAATTTTTGAAACTACGAATTTGTTAGGTGACAAATGTGAAGTGATAGCAGGAATTTGTGAAAGAATTTGTTGAGTACGAATTCTAATTGTCAATTCTGTGCATTAAAAGTCAAGTTTTGATCGAGTACATTCTGTTTTAAAAGGGGAATTATTCTAGTATTATTTGCCTCAAAGTTAATATATATTGAGTGTTTTCTTCGCCTAAGCTCGGTCATTGAATACTAACTGAAAACTGCAAGTAATTATGTGCTTAACAAATTGTCCTACATGGTTATAAGTCCTGCTCAGATACCTCGGGGACTCTCCAGAGGTCTTGGACTTTCAGTAGTAGCACTAGAAATATCTGATTTGGCTTCTGTGGCAATAAATGCGTCGTAGTCAGAGACTGCGAAACTCAAAACGTTCTCCAAGACCACAGCGTCTTGTGAGTCTTCTTTGTCTAAAAATTTAAAGAATCTTCCGGTTTTCTTTGGCGACTCGCCATCCACCCGTCTCTTTGCACTTGCTCTCCGTTTCCGCCTGCCTTCTTGAGAATATGCCATTTCGTCTTCACTGTCCGTTAAGGGGATGTCAAGCCTCTCAAACATGGTTTTCTTCCACTCAATCAGCCCAAACGTTAAAACAACGACTATTAAAATCCAGGATGTCACCATATGAGACGTCCCTAAATTAGAATATTCTGTAGAGAGCTTCATACAAAAAATAACTTTTCAGACAAATAATACTTTTTTTATTTGTCGTCTTATTTTCTGTACTTTTTGCACAGAATTTTTATTGAGTTAAACTGTTTAAGAAACTCAAAAAAAGCAGAAGTTTAGAGAGGTGGAGAAATTGAAGAAACAACTGATATTACTCGTAAAACTGCTGAAAAAATTTGGAAAATTGAAAATGATGTCTCAACCTGTTATTTTCTGCATCTTTTTTTCCTCTGTAAATTGCAATTTATCTCAACTTTAAATCTCTCAGTACCTTGAAATAATGTTTATTAACTTATAATTCTCAATACCATAAGATTTGCGTGGATTTAGCTTCTTAGGAAAAGAATAATAATTCAAAAAATCTAGAAGATGACAGGTTCTGCACTCAAGTAAAGAACTGTAAAGGATAACCAGTAAACCAAAACTTTACTAATGCTTTTTCTTAGAAACTTCTATTCTTTCAATTGTCTAACCCTATGATTGAAACCGAATGCTGTGTAATCTAAGGCCTACTAAAATACTTTATGCAAGTAATTTCACTACGTGTTTGCAAAATGCACTCACTCATAGAGGGAATTATTATGGCGCTCGAAAACACTTCTTATTGGAAACCAAACTGTATGGGGCAGTGTTATCTGTTGATTTTTGCGGCGACTTCTTTCCAAAACTGCTTTTTTGAAATTCCAAACAGTTTGTTTTTATTGCAACTGTTTTACAATCTCTCACCTCGCTCCCTCGTTTACATGAGTAACTTTAAAGTCGGCAAGTTAATGAGGAGAGCAGCAGTCTCTACAGTGACCTTTACCATACAATCATGTGGTAATTGACACGATTCAGAATAAACGAGGATCTTCCAAAATAAAATTTTGAAAAATTATTTTGATTACTACAAGCTAGTTGGTTTTCTGAGATAGCCAGTTTGTACTGATCTAAATGAATTCGGTGCAAGGGTTTTGCATGGATGCGACGATAATGTGCCATATTGGTTTCTACCTAATTAGCAATGTGTTGCCAGTATTTACTGCAATGTCAGAAAAAGTAACTTACAAGTGGCTACTCGAACCTTTTCTACGCCTTCTAAAGCCAGGTTCAGTGGTTCAAAAAAGTTTAACACTTGTATTTTCTAAAATACAATAAAGGTTAAATTTCTGATAAAAAGTGTTCTGCATAGATTAATTAAGATTACTAGTATATATCAAGAAAATTAGTAAAAAAATTGTCGTCTTTAAAAAACCAAAAAGCATCTTTTCTTTGTCTACCAATTGACGGCTTTTTCTGCATGCTCACGCTCGTTTGCATTATTTTCAGTAAGAATGACTCAAAACTGCAGGTTAAAAAACCCCTTTCTGGTACTTTTTTGATAATATAATTGTCGTTACTGTACAAAAAATAAGAAAGAAAAAGGTCAGAAGTCTTACTACCATTGCTCTATGAAACTTTCATCACTGTATCATCAAATTTAAAGCTCTTATCATGATAAGCAAAAAAAAAATGGAAGAGACGATGACAATAAAAACTTTTCACAATGCCGCTGCTTTTGAAAATATATACAATCAAAGACTTTGAAAGAGTACTGTACTGATGAACCGTTAAAAACCAGTAGCTACTTTGTGCTCAGATTTTAGCTCCTCTGGTTTAGGTTTCCGCCCTTCGTAGGTTTTGCATGTGACAAATTCCCAATTTCGGTCACAACTAACACGTACAACTTTTGCTGAAATGTTTGCCACTGTTGTTACAGAAGAAGTAATAGCTGATCATTTTAACTAACAGTTAACTACCTTTTAAGTGTGAAGTTAAAATTACTTTTTTTTTGCTTATTAGATAGAAGAGACTCATTCTTATCGACTGGTTGATTAACAAATTTAAATAAACATATATAAAACGAACAGATAAATAAGTAAGCATTATTGTTATTACTTTTAATATTATTATCATTTTTTTGTATATATCAAGGTAACTGATTACCTTTATCAGAGTTTTTTGAGTGAACGAGCCCTAAACAGTTACCCTTGACGTCAAAATCAAGAATGTTATCTATCCTTAGATACGTACTGTCCGAATACCTGTATACTCCACTTTGTTTTGACATATCTATGCCCAACAATCGCACAGACGTATCGTAGATTAAATCGTACTTTGATTTCAAAAAATTGCCTTAAAAAAGAAAATTTTCTGTTACAAAAACTTATTTTCATCAACGTTTATAGAATGAACAACAGGTGCAAAAAAAAGTTATCACCAAGTTGGTAAATAAAAATCTATCACTTTTTGCTTTAGAAAGCAAAACGTGATAGATTTTAGCAAACCTCTCTAAGCGCATTTATCAATGATTCATTAACATGCAATTATTTATACTAAAAATTTTTTTAAAGAGAACAGTAAAATAAATGCTAAAGATAGGCAGCTTAAACAGATTTTAATAATACTGCTGTTTGATAATTTAGTAACTAATGCTAAATTATAACCATAAATCGATGTGAAAATTAACTGATAAAAAACAAAAATTAGTAATTAATTTAGACAAAAATAGATTTTTTTCATTTTTTCAAATCTTATTTGAACATTACTTACGTTCTAGAAGTGTTGCGATTTCTTTGGAGTTTTCAATTGATAAAGCATAACCATCAAATTGTACTTTACAGTAGGCTTCAACAGTCGATAATGACGTTAAAATTGGGATCGGTAACTGAAACAAAAAAAAGACATGTTAAAAATTTATTGTTTCAGAATATTGCTTTAAAGTTTCAGTATTTTCACCAGTTTTTTTAAGACACTAAAATAGAAGAAACAATTTTTTAGTTATTTCTGCAAGAAATTAACTGTATAAACAATTTTTGTGTCGTCTAAAAGTAAGAATAAACGAGAAATACGGTTTGACAAAACATCTAAATTTTCATGCAGTATTTGGCAGAACCTTAAAGATTTCGAATCTAAATCAAAAATTTCCTGTTATCAAAAAATTCGCTCCTTGTTTCGCTTGAAACAGTTGTGTTCGATAAAAATGTATACCAAAACAGTCACAACCAAACGTCTTGAATTTTACAGCTAATCAGTTTTACTGTGTTTAAGGTTTTACTCTAAGTGTTTAAAATTAAATCATTTTTCTCCTCAGTAAAATCAAAAAGTTTTGAATAAACCAAATAACAAACTTTAATAAAATATACTGTTCCATAGTTTTAATAAATATAAAAAAAGATTCAAAAAGAAATGTACAGTATCTCAATTATCCTGCTTGATAAATTCAGTTCACTCAAGCGAAATCTAAAGACCATAATTTGTGGTTGCTAAACAAAATACCATGTGTCAGATAACTTGCTTGTTTAACAACAAATTACTCGTGAAAAATACTTAGTATAAAATTGAAGACAAGCTTAGAAGAGGAATTTAAGTAACACATATGAAAAGGTTTGGATAAAAACTGCAGTCTGCATACGGCAAAAAAAAAAAA